TGGATGCTTGGATATATGAATGAATGGATGATTGAATAAATGCATATCCTTGTCATTTGGCTTCAGGAGAATAGGTGAGTTTAACTATGGATAACATGTAGAGTTAACACTAAAGAAAGAATTAACAGGTTTTGTAGAAGGTAAAAATCTGGTAAAAGATCAGAAGGCAGAATAAAAGAATGTGTGAAGACCCACAAGGGAGAACTTCCACAGTATTCAAGAGTGAAGAGATGTATGCGTTGGGATATGGTCAAGACTGTGAAATAGTGTTGAGCTAAATGAAAATGTAAAATAAACTGTATGATATGCACACATAGCAACGTACAGAGACAAGTCTAATGATTACAGTGTAAATCAATGAAATTGAAAAAAATGGAGAAAATTGATAAAATCTAAAGCTGATTGTTTGAAAAGATCACAAAAAAATTAAGTCGTAGTTTGGTGTAGCACTATAGGATAAGGACTGACCTGCTAACAACAAGGTTGGAGGTTCAAACCCACCAACCGCTCCTTGGGAACCTTATACAGTGTTGCAGAGTCAAAACCAATTTGACAGCACTTAATAGCAGCAACATAATCTATCTTGCCAAGAAAAAGGATAGAAGACACAAATTACCAACATCAGGAATGAAAGATGGGTCATCACTGCTGATTTCAAGGACATTAAAAAAGATAATAAAGAATTCTATGAACAACTTTATTCCTAGGGATTTGAAAATTTAGATAAAATGGAATAGTTACTTAAAAGGTACAAAACCCTATACAAGGTTACTATGAGTCAGAATCGACTCATTGACTGTAGGTGGAGATTATTACTATAATACGAAACCAGACAAAACATTTCAAGAAAACTATTTCAAGAAACCATTATAAGACCATTACTAGAGGCCATTATCTCTCATGAACATAGACATTAAAAGCACAGGCAGAATATTAGCAAATCAAATGCAATATATGTAAAGGATAATGGATTATGCTTGAGTGTTCATTTCAGGTATGCAAGGCTGATGCAACACTCCAAAAAATCACTCAGTGACTCATAGCACCCTAATATAGGGTTTTTAAGAATGCCTGGTGGATTTGAATCGATGACCTTGCCATTTCCAGTTCAGTGCTTACCCTACAGCGCCATGCTAATACTCCAGAAGCTTCTCAGACTGACGTAATTCAATATAAATTAAGCAGTGTGTAGGCGCTGCATTCTGAAAAGTGTAAAACACCAGTAAGAGAAATAAAAGAAGACGTAAATAAATGTTTTACATGGGAAATGTCTTCATTGTTAAAGATGTAAATTTCTCTAGTTAAAGTCCCAGCAATTTTGTTTTTTGGGTTTTTTTCTTTTTTAAAGATACTGGCAAACTGATTCTAAAATATTTGTGGAAAAGCAAAAGAACTATATCTAGAAGAATTCTGAAAAAGGACAAAGTTGGAGGACATAGTACGCAATTTAAAGAATTATTATAAAGCAACAGTAATCAAGACAATGTCGAACTTACAAAAAGGCTCTTAGATCCATGGAATAAAGAGTCCAGATATAAACTCACATAAATAGTGTGAGCTGATCTTTGACATAGGTACAATGGCAATTCAGTTCAGAATGGATAGTCTTCAGCAGTGGTGCTGTAACAATTAGACTTTCACATGCAAAAAAAAGAAAGACCCTTGACATACACCTCACCCTTTACATAGATTATTAATTCAAAATGGACCAGAGACTTAAATACAAAATATAAAACTATGAAACTTCTAGAAGAAAATGAGAAAATCTATATAACCTTAGAATTGAGGATTAATTTTTAGATATAATACTAAACCCATGGTTCATAAAAGAATGATAAATTAGACGTTGGATCACATTGGTAAAATTATTTGTATCAATATACATGAATTGATTAAAATATTTTAGGGATCCTCTTCACCATTATATGTCCAAAGTATAAGAAACTAGTAAGATTTTCAACCTTCAGTATGGAATGGTTACTTAGTGCTATCCCTAAACAGGGCCTTCTCAAACCTTAATGTGCATATAAATAACCTAGAGCTGCAAGAATTCTAGAAGATTTGTGTCTTCTTGCCACTTATTAAATTAATCAAACAGTTATTTATATCAGCATGGACGCATGGATATTAATTATTGTTGTTGTTACTTAATGTCGAGTCAGCTTCAACCCACAGTGACCCTGTATAGGGATTCCGAGGAGCAGCTGGTGAGCTTAAACAGCCGACCTTGAAGTTCAAATGATTTTGCAGTCCGGTGCATTAACCCACAGCGCCACACCAGGACTACATTAATTATTAGAATCCAATAATATTATATTTTATTTTGTTTCTCAAATTGTTCCAGATTTAGCCACTGATACCTTGTTCATGTACGGGCAAATCTGCTGCACAGGAACTTTTTTAAGTGTTGAAGAGCAAAGATGTCAGCTTGAGGACTAAGGTGCTCCTGACCCAAGCCATGGTATTTTCAATAACCTCTTATGGAGGTGAAGACTGGACAGTGAATAAGGAAGATCGTAGAAGAATTGATGCCTTGGAACTATGATGTTGGAGGAGATTACGAAAAGTGCCATGGGCTGCCAAAAGAACCAATAGATCTGTTTTGGAAGAAGTGCAGCCAGAGTGCTCCTTAGAGGCCAGCTGTTCCGCAGGAGAAAGATGAGGCTTTCTGCTCCCGTAAAGATGTCCAGCCTCGGAAACCCTGTACAGGGTCCCTATGAGTCGGAACTGACTCCACGACACATAACAACAACAAGTTGAAAAATTTTGAGGATTACGTAACATTTTACTAATACTGTTATTACTTTACAAAGCTTTAAAATGTGATGGTTGAAACAGGATTTTGAACCAGTTCTTCCCACTTAGTCATAGTCGAGGAATTAAATCCAGAACATAACTTGATTTTTTTCAAATTTGGGTGATCTAGAATGATAACTGGAACCAAACTATTACAATAGAAATCCTGGGAGATTCTTAGAAGAGTCATAGTGAGCCGTTTCGGGAGTCTGATGCATGAAACTGTGCAGGACTATGGAAACTGGCACACATTCAGAGTGGTGCAGTTGGCTGCCATCTTTGAAACAGGGCACTGCTGTTTCTGATTCTGCTTAAAATCTTATAGGCAAGAGATTTGGTTTCTAGTAGCCACTATTGATTTATAAATTAGATTAAGTTTCTAGTGAAGCTTTGACTTACATTTTTTCCCATTCTGGTTCACCCAAATTTTAAAAATCTGGTCTCTTTGGTTTTACTTCCTTCACCATAACTGAACCAGGAAGAACCAGTTTGAAGCCCTGGGTAAAAATTGTCATCCATCAGAAGCCCTATGTATCCTCTAACATAAATAATTTACCAATACTGTTTACATCAGCCACAAAGCCAAATCTTAATCCTACAAGCATGGTGTTAACATGTTGGCTGGCAATGGTAGTTAAGACTTTTCATTTTGCTGGAATTTAGTGCTGAGGTGGAAAGGATCACTTTGAAAATTAAACTATAATGTAAACAGTTTCCTGAATCATCTTTGACCCTACCCTCACTCTCATTCAACATCTAATCAATCACCATTTCCCCATCAGTTGTTATGTGCCGTGGAATCGGTTCCGACTCATAGCAACCCTGTATAGGGTTTCTGAGGTTGTAAATCTTTATGGGAGCAGAAAGCCTCATCTTTCTCCCGCGGAACAGCTGGTAGTTTCGAACTGCTGAACTTGCGGCTCACAGCCCGATTCGTAACCACTACGCTACCAGAGCTCCTTCCCCATCAGTAATACCTCTTAAATATCTCAGAATCAAACTATTTCTTTTTCTTTATACTATCATCTCCTAGCCACCACCCACTTTCTTCTGGACTAATATTGTAGACTAATATTCCCAACTGACATATCTGAACCATTCTCATAGTGTAAATCGAATGACCACTTAAAAATATGCTTTTGATCATGGCTCTTCCACTTAAAACTCATTAATGGCTTCTGATAAAATTCAAAGCTTGAAAGACATCTGCCAGCCCAGAGGTCTATCTGTCTTCTTGTACTTCCTCAAGTGTGGTGTGTTTCTTTCAGCCATAGGGTCTTTGTGAATGTTGTTCTGTTGGATCTGTTCTTTTTGGATCTTCAATACTCATGTAAAAGATCATTTTTGCAGGAAAACCTTTCTTGCTGTATTAAACCCCTCAACCCACATACCTGAATACATCTTGACATATGCTTTCATGTCAAGATGTATTCAGGTATGTGTGTCATTTTTGTATTTACTCATTTATTGTCTGTTTTCCTTCTAGACTGCCTTCCATGAGGGCAAGAACCATTTCTGACTTATTCATCACTATAACCCTTTTGTTGTTGAGTGCTGTGAAGTTGGTTCTGACTCATAGCCACCTTGTATAAGGTTTCTGAGAAGTGACTGTAAAGCTTGTGGTTTGCAGTTCAGTGATTATCCTACAGTGCCACACCAGGACCCTTGCTATTGTGGTTATGTGCCATGGAGTCGATTCCGACTCTCAGCGACCCTGCATAGGGTTTCCAAGGCTGTAAATCTTTATAGGAGCAGAAAGCCTCATCTTTCTTCCACAGAACAGCTGGTAGTTTTGAACAGCTGACCGTGAGATTACCAGCCTGATTCGTAACCACTATGCTACCAGGCAGAGCTCCTTCCAGGACCCTTGTTGTTGTTATTGCTATGTGCCGTGGAGTCGGTTCTGACTCATAGTGACCCTGCACAAAGTTTCTGAGACTGTAAATCTTTACGGGAGCAGAAAGCCTCATCTTTCTCCCATGGAACAGCTGGTAGTTTCGAACTGCTGACCCTGAGGTTAACAGCCCAATTTGTAACCACTATGCTACCAGAGCTCTTTAGTGCCTGAAAAATATCTGGCTTATGGTGCCCAAAATACATGAATGAATGAACAAACATGGCAACTTTTGTATATTTAAATAGTATAAGTTTATTAAGATACCAGATTTTTGTAAACAAGCTGTTCCTTGTTTTTGTGAATATAGATTATGCTTGTGCTCTTCAAAGAGACATTTTGCTACAGGGACGACTATACCTTTCAGAAAACTGGCTTTGTTTCTATAGCAACATCTTCAAATGGGAAACTACAGTAAGATATTTTGTATTTGATTTGTTGTTAAAATAGTTTACAGATATGAAATTTGTACAGTCCTTTGAATAACCATGTTATTGGCATTAGATGCTAAAATAAATGTATAGGTACTTATATATCTATATTTGTTATTGATAATTGCCATCAAGTTGGTTCTGACTCATAGAGACCCTGTATAGGATTTCTGAGGCGGCAAATCTTTGCATGAGTAGAAAGCCTCCTCTTTCTTCCATGGAGCAGCTAGCTGGTGGGCTCGAACCATGGACCTTGTAGTTCACAGTCCAGTGCTTATCCTTAAGAGCCACTGTGCTCCTCATATTTGTATTTATACATGCATAAATATATTTTTATGTTATATGCATAAATGCTTAATATATATATATATATATATTTATATTTTGAGGTCCATTGTATATATTTAATGCAGTTAGAAAAAGAAATTTCAGGTTGCAAAACAAAACAACTTGAACATGTACCCTGCTGGCTGCCAAAACCTTGTCTTTTGTGACAGACTGCCTGACATTCATTTGCATGTTAATGCAAAGCGTGAACACCCACATATCTTTTCATGGTTTTGTCCCAATGTTAGACATAGGACATAGGGGTGACGGGGTAGGGAAGGGAAGCACTGAAAGGAAGAATGCCTGACTACTTACCTTACATATATATACCTGCAATTACAAGCAAGGGCTTACTAACTCCTTCTGGTTTTTCAGCTGAGTTTTATAGATTAGATTTATGTAATACTTGGTATTTTGTGTTGTCTATGCTTCTGGAAAATATGTTTTGCAATGTTCGCCCCCCCCCTTTTTTTTTTAATATATTTAGATTTCTATTGCTTTAGAGGATATAACTTTCATGACCAAGGAGAAAACAGCTCGATTCATCCCAAATGCGATACAAATCATCACAGAGGGCGAAAAGGTGAACATTTTTTCTAACCTCATCTTCTTACATAACAAAGAAAATCTGCCTCTTACTGAAATCAGTGTTGTGTATACAGGCAATCATTTTTTGGAGTAGAGTATATCTAGTTAGAGATAACTAGAAACCAAACCTGTTGTCATTGATTTGATTCTGATTCATCGTGATTCTGTAGGACAGAGTGAATTGCTCCCTAGGGTTTCCCAGGCTGTGAATTTATGGAAGCAGACTGCCACATCTGCCTCTGTGGAGCAGCTAGTGACTGCCAACTTTTATGTTGGCATCTGAGCACTTACTTAGCCACTGCACCATCAGGGATCCTCTGATACATTATCTAACACTAGATCTAGATATTTTTAAATATTTTTTTGTGATTAAGTGCTAACAAAAACTTTTTTTGATGTGTGCTTTATAGTTTACAGAGAACATTCACCCATGTTTTTCATTTCTTCGTTATAAGAGTAGTCCTGGTGTGGCACTGTAGTATATGTGCTGGACTGTTAACCACAGGATAAGCAGTTCAAATCCACCAGCTGCTCCTTGAAAACCCTATATAGGGTCTCTATGAGTTGGAACATACTCAACAGCACTTAACAGCAAACAACAAAGCTTTAGCAGACCATCTTTATTATTTCTAAATACCCTAGTAGTTCTGTGTTGTTGTTAAGTGCTGTTGAGTTGATTCTGACTCATAGCAACCCTGTATAGGGTTTCCAAGAAGCTGTTGGTAGGTTTGAACAGTTGACCTTGTGGTTAGCAGTCTAGTACTTACCCTTTAGCATGGCTAGTTGTTGCTTAGTCAATAATGCTTGCACATTCCAGTTACTGTCTAGTTGACTCTGACCTGTGACCACCACGTGTCCGTAGAATGGTGGTCCATAGGGTTTCTAGTGGCTAGTTTTTTTGTTTTTTTTTTTAAGTTAACCATCAGGATTTTCTTTTGAGGCACCTGTTGGTAGAGTCTAACCTCCATCCTTTTAGTTAGTAGCCAAAATTGTTAATCTGCATAGTAGCAAATATTAAAAATCAGTGGTTTTGTACCATGTAAGTAAACATGTCATCATTGTAATATTTTTTTTTAAAGGCAATTATTTTTAATTCTCATCATTTTATTATCCACTTATACCATCTGCCATATCTTAGTGGCAACATATGAACACTCTTCTTATAGACATATGCAGAATTGGTTAGTGTTGTGTGTGACAGTAGAAAGCTGATGTTGAAACAAGAAAGAAGAAAGGAAGGGAAAAGAGGGAAGGTAGGAAAGAGGGACAGAAACACTATCATGACAATGAATTATTGTAATGATGCTTTTGTCTTGTAAAGTTTCTTTCAAATGCATTTTAAATTGTGTTTTCAGTTGGAAACAACCTCATTTTTACAAAAACTTCCAAGTGCTAAACAAAGAACTCATCCTACATTGACCATAAATTGTCAGCTTGATGCCTCACATCTCAAGTATTCCAGTATTTCCAACAAAGTAATTTTTCTATATAACCTTCAAAATCAAGACCTTAACATTGATTTACTGCCACAGATCAATGCTCAGACCACATTCAGATTTCCCCAGTTGTCCCAGTAATGTCTTTTACAGAAAATATACCCAATTCAGAAGAGCACATTATATTTAGTTGTCATGCTTTTTAACTTCCTTAATTTTTTATTTCTTTGAGACTTTTAAAGATTGTTGTTTGTTAAAGTGTGTGATTCGATGTGGTCCACATGGATGTTACATGATGCATGACTATATGAAATTGTAGTTATAAATTTTATTCAGTAGGTTATAATCCATTGTTATCATTATTTATTCTTATGTTTAAGTTGTACTAAATTTGGCCATTGAGAGGAAGCCCTTTTTATCCCACTTGGGCTCTGAAATCCTACTCTGGACAGTGCTGTTATGTGGACCTCTTCCTCATTCTTTTCTGATTCTGACACTCTGATTTGGGCTACTACAGCTTCCTTGTCCCTGCCTTCATCCCTGGTGTGAATACCTACTTTTCTGTGTGCCATGAACAGCTTTACAGTTGATTTGTTCAGAGGCCAGAATTGTTATTGTTAGCTACAGTCAAGTGGATTCCAACTCATAATATCACTATGTATGCAAAATAGAACGAAACACTGCCTGGTTGGTTCTGCGCCATCCTCACAGTTGTTGTTACACTTAAGCCCACTGCAGCTGCCACTGTGCCAGTCCATCTCGTTGCAGGATCTTCTTTTTTGCTGAGCCTCCACTTTACCAAGCATGTTATCCTTTTTCCAGGGACTGGTTCTCCCTGAGAACATTCATGTCCTAAGTATGATAGATGAATTCTTATCATCCTAGCTGTACTTCCAACACAAATTTGTTTGTTGTGAGGCAGGCCATGATATTTCAGTATTCTTCTCCAACATCATAATCCAAATGCATCAATTCTTCTATTGTCTCTTACTCACTGTACAACTGTCACATACATATGAGGATATTGAAAATACCATAGTTTGGGTTGGCGCATATAGGTCCTCAAATTGATACCTTTGCTTTTGAACACTCTAAAGAGGTCTTGTGCAGCAGATTTGCCTAATACAGTATGTCATTTGATTTCTTGACTGTTGCTTCCATGAGTATTGATTGTGGATCCAAGGAAAATGAAGTCTTTGAAAGCTTCCATCTTTTCTGCACTTTCATGATGTTATTTATTGGTCCAGTTGTGAGGCATTTTGTTTTCTGTACATTGAGGTGCAGTCCATACTGAAAGCTGTGGTCTTTGGTCTTCACCAATATTTTAAGTCTTCTTCACTTCAAGCAAATAAGGTTGTATCATCTACATATTGCAGGTTGTTAATGAGTCTTTGTCCAATCCTGGTGCAATATTCTTCATATATTCCAGCTTCTCAGAATATTTGCTGAACATACAGATTGAGTAAGTATGGTGAAAGGATACAACTCAACACTGATGCACACCTTTCCTCATTTTAAACCATTCAATACCCTCTAGTTCTATTCTACTGACTGCCTCTTGGTCTATGTATAGATTCCTCATGAGCACAATTATATGTTCCAGAATACCCATTTGTAGCTTGTTATGATTCACACAGTCAAAAGCCTTTGCATAGTCAATAAAGCAAAAGTAAACATCTTTCTGGTATTCTATGCTTTCAGCCAAGATTCATCTGATATCAGCAATGATATTCCTCGTTCCATGTTTTCTTCTGAATACAGCTGGAATTATGCAGTTTCCTGT